CCACATTGCGCAGGCACAGAGCTTAGCAGCAGAGACATGATGGTCTCTCATTAGCGATTCTCCTAATTATTCATCATTTAACATTCCCATGGCTAAATTACACCCCTTGCCTGGGTCGTTGTGTCAGATTGAGTGACTGATTCCATTGTACCACATTATTAATACAAGAATAGCTTTTTTTTAAAAGTGGAACATGATCTAATCAATCTAATCTCATAGAATAAGTCTGTTTTGTTTCTCTTTTCGTAGTTGGATCCTCAAACTCTGCAGAATAAAGACTGGCAGAGGACAGTGATTGCTGTGAACGGGGTAAGTTGTATTCCAAATGAGGATTATGCAAAGCTGGAGTTGACTATAAAATGTGGGCATTATTTGTAAAATTGCAATAATTATAAAATCATGTTTAGTTTTTCTTTTTTTTTTAAATCACCATGATTCCTTAGAATAACCTTGAAGTAACTAAGCGGGAAATATCTACACATTACAGAAGAAATGTTTGACCAGTCACCAGGGCGTTGCTACAGTTAGCTATCAGAAGCTACTGTAATTTAAATTGGGTTTTATTTTAAGAAACGACTCCTTATATAAAAATCGATGGTCTTGCTGATTTCCTGTGGCCTGGGTGGATGGGCTTCAGCGGAAGATACTCAGGTCTGCTGTCAGGCGGTTAATCTCATGTTACCAAATGGTCATCAGCTGCTTTCTCTGACCCGATGTAGATCGAGGTGAAGCTGTCGATGAGGTTCACCAGCAGGGAGTTCAGCTTGAAGCGAATGCCGTCACGGAAACAGTCTGGAGTCTTCGGAGTGAAAATCCACGTAGTCACAAAGTAGGTGTCTGATATGATGTTGAAATGATTTTCAGTTTGTTTGTTTGAGAGGATCCCCATTAGACTCTACTGCAGTAGAGACTGTTCTTCCTGGGGCCACACTTCAAATGTTGCAATAAATCATACGTTTACAAACCTTACAAAAAGAAGACAGAAGAAATACTTTAAGACACAAGCAAAATCAAAAGACAAAATTCAAATGAACCTCCTCAACAATTTTGAGTTTTCACAAACATTGCAAAAAGACATCACATAAAAACAGAAACAAAACACAAAATTTTGATGAGGAAAATGATGAACAAACTGTGAAAATCTTCTCTTTAAAGATAAATTCATCCAATCCATCAGTTGATCTTCCATGTGTCAGAGACGCGACATACACCGATAAAAAGAGATTTGCTATATTTTTATAATCTGCCTCGTAAAGCTTTGGGTTTTTTGTGCGTCTCTGTTGTGATTAGGCGCGAACGCTCCAAAGTCCCGCTCATCGTTCGCCAGTGTGTGGAGGAGATCGAGAGACGTGGGATGGACGAAGTGGGGATATACAGAGTGTCCGGTGTTGCTACCGACATCCAGGCCTTGAAAGCTGCTTTTGACTCAAGTTAGTTTGGCTTAAGTTACAATACAGACATTATGGCAGGATAAGAAGAACCATTCTTTTAAACTACCACAAATTGTAAGTTGGCCAAGTTGCGGCTTTTCTCGTGCGTTCCGCAGACAATAAGGACGTGTGTGTGATGATGAGGGAGATGGACGTAAACGCCATCGCTGGAACGCTGAAGCTGTATTTCCGCGAGCTGCCGGAGCCTCTCTTCACTGACGAGTTGTATCCCAACTTCGCCGGAGGGATCGGTCAGTCGTCACCCTGTTATGTCTTCGCCACTCGTTGGTCGCTCTTAGACAAGTTTGTGTTCTGACGGCTGCGAATCCACCTTTGCCTCTGTCTTCCAGCTCTCTCAGACAATGTGGCGAAGGAGAGCTGCATGCTCAACCTGCTGCTGTCTCTGCCAGAGCCAAATCTGGTGACGTTCATCTTTCTGCTAGATCACCTGAAGAGGTAAATAAATGGCCGCTAAAATGAAGACATGCCACTATGAGATTCTTAAAATAAATATGGAAAATATGATATAATCACTTTTATTTACAACTACAAGTGAAGGAGCCATTTTTTTAACTAGGCAGAGGAGAGGCTTTGTTGTATTACCAAAGAAACACCAAATAAACCTAATAAATAAATAAACATAAAATTTCTGCTGCAGTTTTGACCTGCATTTGGCTTTAGGATCAGTAAAGTATTTTTGAATGTTAATGTATTTGAATTGTTACTCTGAAGTGCAGACATATGCCGCCAACAACTGTGTCATCATAAATATCCCACTTTCCATTAGCGAGACATGCATGTCTCACCTTTTTCCACATAATCAGTTTATGATTTATCAATGAGGATTTAACTGCACTCTGCTGACATGAGCTGTCATTTTGCATACATTAATAGATATTTTGCACAGCGGCTACATGAACTGATTGATTGATTGCATCAACATATTCTCAATTTAAATAAATGTCAAGAAAACAATCCATATTATTTTACAGTCATAGAAAGTGACAGATGTACCTTAACAGTTGAAATGTCATCATTGGGATGTAGTGGTAATGTCTTATTTTAGTGACTCAACAGGCAATTTGTTGAGAGAAAAGTGGGTTTTATTTAAAAATTTCTTTCGTTTTTACTCTCTTTTTGTCTTTTTTTAATGTAAACAAAATTGGATTTCAAAATTACTAATCTACTGCGAAAACCAATGGAATTACAAACTGGGATGTGTTTGAGTCTCTAAAACCCCACGATGGCTTTGTTTGTACAGGGTGGCTGAAAATGAGAGCATCAACAAAATGTCTTTGCACAATCTGGCTACTGTTTTCGGCCCCACTTTGCTTCGACCTTCGGAAAAAGACAGCAAACTCCCGTCCACCTCCCAGCCCATCTCCATGAACGACAGCTGGTCTCTTGAGGTCATGGCTCAGGTAAAGCCCATTCCGTCAAATCACGTCGCTGTACGGTTTGGAATATTTGCGTGACCGTCTCCTTGTGTTTCTTTTTGAAGGTTCAGGTCCTTCTCTATTTCCTTCAGCTGGAGAGCATTCCAGCCCCCGACAGCAAGCGGCAAAGCCTCCTCTTCTCTACGGAAGTATGACAGGAACACGACGAACCTGGACCGTAATGACCCCTATCCGAGGAAGAATGTCCAGCTCCCGTTGCCTCTACTTATGTTAGCCACCAGGAGGCGCCATCACCCTCTGTTAAAACTGAAAACAACCACCGCAATCAAAGCCATTTCTTTGGGAGCTGAACTTGTGGTCTGTTTACGTAAACCTGCTGTGTCAGAAAAAAGACTTCCCTTTAAGATCTATAGGTGAAATATATCATTCCTTTATTTTTGAAATTTAATTTAAATCTGAAGAAGCAATATTTCCTGTGCTTTGTTCTGTCTGTGTGCACATTATCACCATATTCACACTGGAGTTTTTTTTCTTTTTGCTGTTTCTGGATTTTTATAAGATTTATTTCTGGCTGTGGTTGGTTTATGAAGAGACATATTTTTCTTGTGTTTGTGTGTGCATATATACCCTCACCCGCCCACCCAGTTTAAATTCACCTGTGCCAACCTTCCCATCTGATGACCAATAGAGTTTTTCTGTCCTCCTCATGTTTACACCGTCTAAATTTTGTACAGAGACTAAAGCTGTAGGCAGCACACAACATGCAGGCATGTTGAGTCAACCGGTCAATGTTTTGTTGTTTTCTGTGAATTTCTGTGTCTTGTTTTTTTTCCCCAGATGAGCTACAGGATGGATATGAGTGTTTTTGTTTTCTTTTTTTGTTGTTCTTTTTTTTTTTTGAAGAAAAATCATTCCAGGAAATCGACCCTAACACTTTACTCTGCCTAACGTAGAATGTATGCCATTGCTGTGTGTAATGTTAACTACAAAGCCATCTTTTTGTCTGCATTCCAGGACTGTTCCCCTTTCGTTTTTATTTTTTTTTTATTTTATTTTTTTTTTTTTTGTTTTTGCGAGCTGAACTTCTTATGTTGCACTCCTTCAGCCACAGTTGTAGAAGTAACGGCATTTTCTGGAAACACTAACTATTTATCTGTAGGACAATCAAAGCACCCAGCCTCCCTCGCAGTTCTCACAGAAGTCTTTGGTGAAAAAAAAAATGCAAATCTCTACAACTAGTCAGACACAAACTGTAATCTTAAAAGCTTTTGATTCATGTTAAACAAGCAATAATTCTTAGTGATGCTTAGGATTTCCTTGTACCATATGTTTGATTTATGTAAATAAAAACTTCAAAATTATTTTTTATTTTGCAGGTGTCTAAATGAATAAATGCATCACATCATGTGTACAATGTCTGGGTGAACTCGTAACAGCCTTTGTCAGCTTTTCTTACAATCCCAGTACAAAACTTAAGCATTTTTCTTTTCAAGGAAATTTTTTTCGGGGGAATGTTTTCTATTTTATTGGCCTAGAAAATTTTTGAAGCCTATTCCTAATAATAAAAAATCTTTTGATGCATTTAGCTAACTTTAATGAATGGATGTCTCCAAGTCTTGCCTCCACAACCAAGCAAAACGCTGCTGACCTATTAAAGTAGAATATTCCACAGTCACTTATTAGATCATACCATCAGCACTGCTGATCCACCTCATTTGGTTTTGCTGCTCCTCTTTAATAATGATCTTTGCCCATTATGAAGAGATGGTTTGACCTTTCTTCTCTCTGCTCTTTGGTCCTATTCTGAATACATAAGGTTTCCTTTCCACCTCCAGTGGGATTTGGGGGTTATAGTTCATATTATTTGGAGTTTTGACATCCTAATCAACTGCCTTCAGTAGCAAAAACAATACAGTGTTGCCAAAGTTATGCATCATAAATCTATGAAAGTTAAAAAAAAACAGGTCAAAAATCCTTCCAGCTTCACAGCATCCAAAACTAGAGAGAGCAATTGGAGAAATGTGCAATTCATCAAAGAAAAGCTAATCATGAAATTAAGAACTAACAGAGCTACTCCAACATGCTGCCACCATGACGTGTGCAACTCTAGAAATTCTCATCCTTCACTCAGCATTTGTTTGCAAGTAAGACAGTTGTGGTTATGTTGGTCAGTCTGGCATGAACAGCACTCCCAAGCTGCTCCCTCCAGTGTTCAGAGGTGCTGAGGTCTGGACTGCAGACAAGCCATCCTATCCACTCCCAAATACTGGAGTCAGTTTCTGATGAACCCCACTCTGCAGGCTGCAGCAGTGGCAGTCTGGTGGGTCGAGTTCGGTCACCAACAGTAGAGATGTGGGACTTCCTCTGTTTGCAGAATCACACATCTGTATTCCTGGAATTAGATCTTTAATTTTTAGCCCTTAATGATGACATGTTTTTTTGGTGGTTTCTTTTCTCAGTTATGGGTATTTTTTTGAAAACACTGTAGAATATATTTTATTGTAGTTGTCCAAAGTATTATTATTTGTAATTTAGTTGGTGGGTTGAACATTTCTTGGTTTGTGGCTCACTTGTTTTGACTATTGTCAGATTTCATGATGATGATCCGTCCTGTGCAGCAGCGTGATGCTGAGCGGATGAACCAGGGACCCGGAGGGAAGGAGGCAGGCGGAGAGAGGATCCTCCTGAAAGAAAGAGACGAGCCGCAGCACCGATGCTGCCTTCACAAGCGCTGGGATCCCTGGACTGCCAGCGGCTGCAGATGGGTCTTCGTCGGGCTTCAATCAAATCGTCAAGTTGGAGGAAATAGGAGAACCAAAGGTAGGGTCTTTGTTTTGGTCAGTTAGCTAACAAGAAGGCTGTCTTTTTTTTCACCCGGGCTATGCTAACGCTGTTAGCACAATGTTAGCATCAACAACCTAAAGTTCTCCGTGACTCGCTCAAACAAAACAACCACGTCTCTTCTGTAAAATGCAACAAACGTCACGAAAACACTCCGTTTTCATGTTCGTATCTTTTTTGTTGAAAAAGAAAGTCATTTTATCTATTGGAGTGGCTCTGAATTCAGCTGTCAAGATAGCAAATTTATGTTGAAGCTAACGCTGAAGAACTTCAAAATAAGAGTATGCCGCTTCTCCATGCGGACAGTTTCTGCTCGCAGGACTTTAGTTTGGACTGGCAGGTTGAACTCTGTTGACCTCTGCTGTGAAAGCTTCAACTTTATTCCAAGTTTGTTGCTGGCTTTGCCTAAAGCCAAACCGTGCGTCTTTATGGTTTGACTTCCATTTTAGTTCAATACTTAAATTGGTTGTAATTATCACCTGTTCAGAATAAGTTTAAAAGGGTCTTTTTTGCCTACGTGTCTTGTTTCGTGCTTTTATTTAGAAAGTATAAAACCAAACAGGAAGTTTAGCTCCTGCCTCAACAGCAGAGCTAACTAGCTAGTGAGGTTCTACCCTTCATCTTCAAACAGCTTCCTGACGTTTTTCCTATCCAGAGTGACCCTATTGCCTTTACACGTCACGTATGCGTTGGTGAAGAACAGGTGAGATGCTGTTAGCTTGGCGGCTAACTGTTTACTGTGGTTCTTCACATGTTTGTGTTGCCAAGGTTTCACTGGTACCTCAGAAAAACTCACCAGTGTCTGATGGAGCTTATTATTACAGAAACCCTCTCTCCTACTACCCAGTTCCTTTGCAGTACTTAAAGCATAAATAATTTATACTTTAAATTATTTACACTCCACAATGCACACGTAGACTACACTTCCAGAAGGTAACATTTAAACCCTCCAATATTCATTTTAAGCCATTCTTTGACAAATTTGTAAGTTTTTTTTGGGGGGGGGGGATCCACTAAAAGATGTGCTGTAGATTTCTGCATCTCCTCGAGCTAGCATGGACCTCTTGGCTTCTCTCAAAGATGCAATCCTTGTACTATGATTTCATTAAAAGTGTCAGAGTTTTCAGAGGGACTGAATGCAAACACACACCGCACTTTTCAGATTTTATTTGCAAAGCATTTTGGTGACCGTGCATCATTTTGAAACGGGAAAGTTCTGAAATGCGAATACTTTTCACCTTCCCCAGACGTCCTTGCGTTGCAGCCGTAAGGCAGTGAAACACCAGCGGCCGTCTTGTGACTCCAGGCTACGCTGCGAGTAGAAACATGACATTCCAGCCCCTCCTATTAATAACGCCATGTAAATTCAGTCTCAGACAACGTTCTGCTCAGTCTCAGGCAGACTGGTGCCTTCTTGTCCTTGCACAGTCGCCCTTGTAGTGTTGAAGCGTGAATTATTTTATTTTGTTTTTTGGGGTTGGGGGAGCAGGGAGACGCCACCACAGGAAGCTGATGTTATGGCCAGGGCATGCCTCCCGCAGTTAAAGCATGAACAGTACTCCTTCCCACCTCCTCCTCCCAGCCTGTTCTATTCCCTCTTTCCCCCCAGTCCCATGCTTTTGTTCAGCTGTCTGTAAGAGAACAGTGCTCTCTCTTGTTGCATTGGAAGTCTTGAACCGGGTCCATCGCATTCATTAATACTTGGATCAGGTACTATTGATCTAAATTAGGTCAAGTGTGTGTGTGTGTGTGTGTGTGTGTGGGGGAGGGGGGGTGTTGTTCAAAAACACTGGTCTTCAGATAGCTTACTGGTTACACACCTTTAGCGCATGTAAATAATCCTGCTGGGAACACTTCTGCCAAATCATGCTAGTTGACAGTAGAGACGGACCATTCCAATATTAATATCTGTATCGGTACCAACATCGTCAGAAATTCTAGATCTGGTTTTGGTGGCTGTGTGTCCGATTCATAAGGCCAGATCTGTTCAGTCTAATTATATGCTTTGTGCTCTGAGTACACTTTATCACTTATCTTTACATTATATTTTTAGAATTTCTAATTGCACTTTCTGAACCTTTTGAAAGACAGTTTGTTGCGCTTTATTTTTTATGTTTGACCAACGTAGTCGACCCGATTTTCTTTTATTACTTATTTTACATTAGCCATAAAACTGCACAAATTGAAAGTATGAAAATTAATTTGCTTAATGGAATCGCTGCAATTTTGAAGAAAAAAAAAGCATGCTTTTCAATTAAAAAGTTTTTGCCGTACAATGATTTTGTTTTTAGTCATATCTAAATAGCTGCATTTCACAAAACTGCAACACTTTTTTTATTCTCATCACGAGTCACATGATCGGCAGCCAGAAGCCACTACTGTAGAAAACGACAAAGAAGTTGACAGGAAGTGGTAGGAGGATGATGGTTGATGATGGAAAAACATTGTCTAGCTTTTCCTAGACAATGTGCAGCTCGTACAGTTCATAAAAAGTTGTGTGTCAATCCAACATGTTGAATCCATAACTTTTTCTGTAAAATAGCAGCAGCTTCACCTGAATAAGACCCCGATGTCTTCTCTGTTTGGCTGCTAGATAAATATATCATGTTTACATACATGGTTGCTTTACTACTAATTGCACTGGTGGAATAAATTAAAGTTGTGTCGTTTTTACATGTTTGACCAAGCTTGTGAATCTATTGGTGTATGTAAGTCTCCTATATGGTGCAGTTTTCAAATAAATTTGGTGATTTAAAAAAAAAGACTCATTTAAGACAGTTCAGCAATGTCTTTAAAACCTCAGATATCGGTATTCATTGGTATTTGTATCGGAAGTGAAAAAAGTGGATCGGTGCATCCTTAACTGATAGTTGTGGACATTTGGACGTTTAAATAATCACCAATATCAGAACAGTAGATTCCTCATCACATACATGCAGCTGTGCATTTACACATACTTTCATGAATAAATATGTTTCCATGTGAAGCTTTGTGTTGATAGCCGAGCCCTGCCGGGTAAAGAGAGAGAGAGTGTTTCGCAGTGTGGGAAGGGAAAAGCCTGCTCACTGCGCCTCATTTATCTGCTCTGTCGGTCCCCAGCGATCGCTCCCACGTCTTTTCAGGCTGTATCAAAAGGACCGCGCTCCAGCTAACAGCTCTCCATTTCAGACATCTGCCTTGACACACATTCAGCTATTCAGAGAACTGGCTCTTTGCTCAGTGCACATGTCAGTGCCTCTCTTTTCTGCCAAACTTGCAGATAATTGCAAGCGTAGAAGCATTACTGTAAACGCAAGTGGAGCAATTAGATGCACAAAGACAGAGGAGGTCGAAAAAGAAACAAACATGATAATGATGATGACTGGTTGTGTACCAAGAGGATATGAGAAAAAGCTACTGCAGCAGCTGCATTTTATGTTAGGGATGTCCGGCTTACTTTTTCCTTCCTTATTTTCTTTATTGATTTAGAGTAAAATAAATGGACATTATGATTTCCTTTGTTCCTAAGACTTTGTAGATCTATTTTATATGCTTTCTGTTGTTGTTTTAACCCTTTGGAAAAAAAAGAAATTATATATATATATATATATATATATATATATATATATATATATATATATATATATATATATATATATATATTATTTTATTTTATTTATTTTTTTTGCTTGAATCTCAAGATTGTAAAAAAACAAAACAGCAAACTTGAGTCAAATCCTCACTGAAAGCCACAGCTGCAGTGTTTCAGCTGTTGATCTTTCTAAATTCTTGAGCCTGGAATTCGCCGGCGTTCTAATTGCTTTTCCTGAATATCTCCTTCTGATCTCACCCAACAAATCCTTCACTTCATTTCTGCAAACAGAAATGGAGCCAGCAGTCATTAGTCCACGACAGCCCAAGTATCGCAATCGGGGACAAAGTCAAGGGATGACCAGGCTTCCAACACAAGGTTCTCTGAAGCACAATGTTCTTTCCAGCAGATGGCTGGTCGTGTTTGTTAAATCGTTCAAGTGAGTAGTGAGAGCTCTAGATGTGTGTCTGAAAGAGCTTTCCACAAACGCGTAATTCCTTTTTAATATACGTTATTGGTGCTTTATTGCCAAGTTGAGCTTCATGTGTTTCCATGAGACACAAACTCCAGGAGATAAATTCAGATTCAGATTTTGGTAAAACATTGTGGAAGTTTGCTGATTGTTTCACAGCCCAATTCACTTACTTTGTACTTGGACCTCAGTGATGCTTAGTTTGTTTTTGGTTTTTGGTTTTTTCTATGCTCTGTATAATGGTAACCGCATGAACAGACTTTTGGTAGGCGAGCTGGACTGAAACTTTTTATCTCATATATTTTGTGGTATTATTGTGATAACAATTTAAAGCGATAACAAGAACTATTTATTCTTTATTCACCTGTTTCTTTTGGTCCAACATAAAATTCCACCGAAATACTTTAATGTTTGTGGTTGTAGTGAGAAAGAAAGAAAAAAAAATGTGGAAATGTATTTTGGTCTTATAAAGCATATATAGCACAGTGGGACCAGCGGGTTTGTTTCATGCTGCAGTTAAACGCCTTGCAGCTCCATCCCCGTTCTGATCACTGATAGAAAAAACAAATCTTCCAACCGAAGAGTTTTGAGTATTAAAAGCAGACCATCGAACGCAGGAAGCACCTGGACTTCAGAGACACATCTGAAATCCATCACTGCTTGTGGTTTTTTAAGAAAAGATCTTTTATGTGCTAAAGTTATTTTTGAATCTATTGGGAGACAACGTTGGCAAGAAAATGGCAGATTTATTCCTGCGCTCAGCAAAAAGATTGATTCGCAGAATCGCCACAACATTGGTGGCCTCGCCGGGATAAGTGGGCCAGCTTCCTGTCTTTCTGATTTAGGGCTTGTCTCATTTATATTTCTGTCCACACAAACAATTCTTATTGAAGGGGAAACAACAGCACTGACTCAGATGTACATTGTAGCTGAGTTTCCCCAATAAATCATCTCAGCTCAGCTTTTCATCTCGAGGGGAATCTGAAACATTTTATGTTGATCTTCTTTGTCTTCTGTTGTGTCCTGGTTTACTTTTCTTCCTTTTGTGGCATCAGCAACCAAGGATAACCTGCAGTGTTTCTGGGTTTTTGTTTCTTTTTTTGTGGGTTTTTTTGTTGCACGTGTTAAACGGCCCCAGCCAAAACCAACACCTTGCTCACCGCCAGATAAACTGGGTTCATTGGGGAAATGAAAAGCCCTCCGTCCAGGCGTTTGATTTGAATCATGTGGTGCTAAACTGAAGCACATTTCTAATGAAGCCTAATTGCTCGATTTGCCCAGTTCAAATTGTCATTAGGAGCATTTCAGCTTCCAAAGGTCTTAAAATAATGGCGTCGATAAATTCCTCACTCCTTGGCTGTCGGATGAAAATCAGTCGGGGTTCTTTTTTTTTTTTTTTTTTTTTTTCTTTTTTATCTTCTTACACTCACTGCCAGCCTCACTGCTTTCAGCGTTCCAGTTGATCTGCGGAGGATTCAGGATTTCCTTATTTGGTTCTGCTGATCTTTTTGAAGAAACACCAGAGAAATGCTTTTCTCCCTCATTTTCCTTTCACTGAAACGACCAGGTCATCAATCTGACCTCTTCTGACACCTTGAACAGTAACTACTTTGAGGTTCCTTTACTCGGTGTGATTGGTTATGAAGCTGACAGGAACGTGCGAGTCTGAACCGAATCCACTTGACAAATACATGAAAGCCATCTGGTGGAGGCCTGGGGAATCTACAGACAAATGATCCTTGAATAATGGCAGACTAATTATACTACACAGGTGATGACGCAACAGTGAATTTTGAGATCAGAAAAAACGTTCAATTCCAATGAACAATTAACACTTGAATATTAAATATCCAACATATATAAAGAAAAAACAGAAACAATAAATCAAATTAAATATAAAATCTCTGCAAACAAAATTGTCCTCCAGAAAAAGGGGGGTTAGTTGAGACCGAAGCGCCAGACTCAAGACTTTTCTCATCCAATTTTCGGTAGAATGAGACGAAAGTGAAAAATTAGAAATCATTTGATTTTTGAGTTCGTTTTAATTGATAAGTTGAAACAACTGAATTGATTATTTGCAGCAGGCCTGTCACAGCCACAGAGTTCAACGCGGTTTAATCAGAATTTTACCAAATGGGTCAAAAACAAAGTAAAGAATCATTTCAAGATGCAAGGAAAATGGCGACTGTAAAACTTTTGAAAGAGCAAAAAATCTGAAAGCTACTGAAAAATAGCTCCCCACAGCATGATGGTGCCACCACCGAGGAAGAGTCTTCCTCCTCGTGTCTCTTAATTGGAAGGATCTACGGCTGCAACTAACAATTATTTTTCTCATTGATCTGTCGATTATTCTGACAATGAGCCAGATGGCATATTCTGCTAATTTTTCATGTGAGCATGTTTTTCAATGCATTAAAATATCCAATTAAGCTAATACAAATTCTCTTTTAAATAAAAAATAAACATTTTATTGCCTAAAATGCAATAATAATATGTATGTATAATTTTTTTTTATATTTGTCTTTTTTTTTTAGTTCTGGATTATTTACTGCTGAGTGTTTTGTTCTTTCAGCAAATGGCCTTTTTTCCTTCGTATACTCCAGTTATTGATTAATTAGATGCTAAATTCATTGACGATTATTTCAGTAATTTGTTCATCATAATTAATCCACTTAACTGTTTCAATCCTGGAAGTGTCAGAGTAAAAGGAGCTGAATACAAATTACACTTTCCACATCTCAATTTCTACTCATTTTTCAGCAGGTATAACTACTTCAACGTGACCCTATAGTGGGAGTTACTGTGGGGGATTTCGTCAGCTTCCAGAATTCCTTTCTGCTGGAAAACTGGAGCTGCCACTCTCCAGGCAGTCTTTGACTCCAGCTTTCTCCTTCCGCCTTCCTTTTGTTTCAGCTTGAGCTGTAAATGTGTCAGCAACAGAGGACTCAGTATGAAGAAGTCGGCCCGGCCAGCGGCGAGTAAGGTCAGCGGGGAACGAGGGAAATCAGAGGCTGCCGGCGCCGGAAAGTCCTCCGCCAAAAGTGTCAGCGCTGCACCTCTGAATAAGGTGAAACTCGTTGTGTGATGAAGGACTTGGCATCATTGTTTTTTTGTTGTTGTTTTTTTTTATGTGATAGTGCTGGTTTTGTTCTTTCAGGTGAAAAGCAATGATGATCTTTTAGCGGCCATGGCCGGAGGGAATCCTGCCACTAAGACCAAGAAGACTGGCTCCATTGGAAGTAGTTCTACCAACCAAGAAAACAAGCCAAAAACTACATCAGGTATCCCACAGTCAAAGCAAGGGACAGTATAATGGGAGATCCAGTTTTTAGAGCTTTACATAAGTTGTAATGGTATTCTCTCGCCAAAACCATACCTGTAGTGTTGCCCTGATTCTTTAGTGCATGTTTGAGAAATCCTGTAATCTCTCGTGGCAACAGTTCAGGGTGCAGAAACAGTTGGTCTCACGGGGCGTTGCCTTCCACGCAGCTTCTCCTCAGAGTCCCCCCTTACAGAGCAACTCCTTCCCCAGCGATTCCCACACTCAGCTCCTTCAGACTAGCCAGCAGCAATTAGCAAACATCTGGCGGAGCTGAGCATTAATACTTCTGAGATTAACACTGGTAAAAATGTTGTTAAAGTGTTGATAGAGGAGCCAGGTTGTGATGACTTCCTCAAGGCGGAGTTTCAGAAAGAGCAGGAGCTTCTTAAAGAGACAGCTACCCAATTTCAAGTCATTAAATTAGGAAGTAAATTTTCTTTCAAATTATGTTTGATATGTATATAGCATTTTTATAACAATTAAAATAAATGTAGTTGCTTGATTGAGCTATAAAACGTCACAATGTGCCTGGAAAACGCATAATACTGCCCCTTCAACGATGTCATCCAATAGTTTATTATTACCTTGTCAGGTTTTCACATTTCCTGTCAATTTGAAAGATTTTTTTAACCCAAAAACACAATGGGCCACTGGATGACTCCCCTAGCTGCCCTATCACTGGGGAAATCCTGGGTAGTCATCGTCAGCAAAACGTCACAAAAATACATAATCCTGCCTCTAATTGTCTGTATTACAAGTTCCATCTCTTTCTGTTTTCAAGGGTCTCTGTCCAAGCGTACATCAACGACTTCCAAGGAACCAAATTCTTCACGAGATCGCCTTCGGACATCAAGAGGTTCAGCTGCTAAGAAGCAGTCGGCATTGGGCAGCGCATTGGGGGATGTGTCCTCGGGGAAACGCTCCCGGAACCAGACGGTGGCCGAATCAGACGGCCGCATGAGCAAGTCCAAATCAGACGGCCAGATCAGCGATAAGGTCGCTCTGGAAGCCAAGGTGAAAGACCTGGTGGGTCTGGCTAACAGCAAAGACGTGGAGATCCTCCACCTCCGCAGTGAGCTGAGGGACATGAGGGCACAGTTGGGTTTGGGGGAACAGGAGGCGACGTCTCAGGAGCAGGAGGAAGAGGAGTCCAGGGAGGAAGAGAAGCCCCAGGTGTCAGCCATCACAGCTGCTGATGTGGAGTCCACTCTGATCCTCTTACAAGAACAAAACCGAGCCATCCGAGAGGAGCTGAACCTGCTGAAGAGCGAGAACCGCATGCTGAAGGACCGGCTCAACGCGCTGGGCTTCTCCCTGGAGCAACGGCTGGACGGAACCGACAAGCTCTTCAGCTATCCGTCCTCCCTGAGCCCGGACCTGTCGGCCAGCGCCGCGCACGGTGACACGGCCAGCGCCGGCGCGCTGACATCCTCGGTGGAGGGCTCGGCCCCCGGCTCCATGGAGGACCTGCTGACGGGTCACCAGCACGGCGGCTCGGCGGACAACCTGGACAGCGAGTCCAGCGAGGTCTACCAGGCCGTCACGTCCAGCGACGACGCCCTGGACGCCCCCTCCGGCGCGTCCTCCTCGTCCGAGTCGGAGTGCGCCCCGGGTGCAGTGGCGGCGCGCTCGCGCAGGGGCAGCAGCGGCGACACCAGCGAGGTGTCGGTGGCCTGCCTGACGGAGCGCATCCACCAGATGGAGGAGAACCAGCACAGCACGGCGGAGGAGCTGCAGGCCACGCTGCAGGAGCTGGCCGACCTGCAGCAGATCACCCAGGAGCTGAACGGGGAGAACGAGCGGCTCGGCGAGGAGAAGGTCATCCTCATGGACTCGCTGTGCCAGCAGAGCGACAAGCTGGAGCTGTACGGCAGGCAGATCGAGTACCTCCGCTCGCTGCTGGACGAGCACCACGTCGCCTACACGCTGGAGGAGGACATCAAGAGCGGCCGCTACCTGGAGCTGGAGCAGCGCTACGGTGACCTGGCAGACAACGCCCGCTTCGAGAGGGAGCAGCTGCTGGGCGTGCAGCAGCACCTGTCCAACACGCTCAAGATGGCCGAGCAGGACAACGCCGAGGCACAGGAGATGATCGGTGCGCTGAAGGAGCGCAACCACCAGATGGAGCGCATCGTGGAGTCGGAGCGGCAGGACCGGGCAGCGCTGGAGGCGGCGCTCGACGAGTACAAGGCGGCAGTGAGCAGCGACCAGGCTGAGCTGGGCCGCTGCCGGGCGCAGCTGGAGCAGGAGAGACAGCGGGTGGCAGAGCTGTACTCGCTGCACACGGCCGGCGACAAGAACGACATCTGCCAGCTGCTGGAGGGCGTGCGGCTGGGGAAGGAGGAGGCGGAGGCCAAGGCGGCCAAGACGCAGGAGGAGCTGGAGCGGGCGCACGGCGAGCTCGGCCGGCTGCAGGAGGCCTTCAGCAAGGTTAGAGAGTGTGAGGTCAAAGGTCAGGGAACGCATATGGGGTGCCACTGTGGAGGGGCCAGAAAACAAATAATCAATTAATCACATGATGAGTTAAAATTATAATTTCCTTGATGATTATTAATAATTGTTTGAATTGCAATTCTGTTTTCAGAGCCTTTATAATCTGTTATCTATAGATTTTTTTTTTGTGTGTTTTTATGTTTCATTTATTGCTTTTGGTTATGTTTTGTTTTTTTGTAGATTTAAAATATCTTCCAGTTCCAGAGTTAAGGGTTCTTTTTTATTGGTCTTTGAGTGAAAACCTGCATTTTTATGGCATCCCTTGAAAATGCTCTCAAAACAACAATGTTATTGTTCGTCACAATGATAAATTATCTTACTTAGGGGGATTACTATACATGCATACCAACATTATAATTTACTCCTCTACACTACTTTCTATTAGTTCATCCCATGAAATTCAAATAAAATACTTTCAGGATTATGATTGAAATGTGGAAAAAAAAAATTAAAAATCAAGAGCTATGAATATCATAATGATCCTGTGGAACGGTTTTGTTGATTATTTTTGACGAAGGTTTCTGCTCCTCCTGCAGCTGGACAGTGAATACCGGGCTTTCCAGGAGCAGGCGCAGCGGCGGATCGCCGAGCTGGAGGGCGCTCTGGAGAAGCGGCGCGTGGAGCTGCAGGAGAAAGAGACGGAGATCGGCGACATGAAGGAGACCATCTTTGAGCTGGAGGACGAAGTGGAGCAGCACCGAGCCCTGAAGCTCCATGACAACCTCATCATCTCGGACCTGGAGAGTAAGTGGACTCGCGTCAGACTGCAGTTATCCAGAGAATACCAGATATTCTGGTCTGATGGAATATCTGGTGTGCAATAATTTTCATATATAAAATCAATGCACAAGAGTTTGATTTTATCTACGAATAAATAAAACTTTTTACTGTACATATTCTCTGAAAACTGTGGACTTCATAGCATTTCTGATAACCTTGCAGGCTTTAGTAAAAAGTATGTTTTTGTTTTTATTTCAGACTCTGTGAAAAAGCTGCAAGATCAGAAGCATGACATGGAGAGAGAGATCAAGACTCTTCATCGCAGACTCAGGGTAAACACAAAGTTTGATCAGTAAACAGCAAATTATTCCCCGAAGGCCTTTTGGAAAAACATTTCCACGGTTTTTATGCTTCTTTGAGATGCGAAAGTTTCACACATCAGTTTTACATTGTATTGATTTACCAGCCTGAAATGCTGGCAGTAAACCTTCAGCAGTGGTGGACAAACGGAGTCGAATCTCTCAAATTAGAAGTAAATAAAATCCTTTCCACCTGGAGAACATATTCATTGGGATGTTATCAGACTGTTTTTATTCAGATACATTAATAATATCAGCTGACTTTAGTGGAAATATTAACTTAATTAAGTAAATGAAACTTGGTGCCAGTGCTCATAAAACACCACAAAAAGTCAGTTTAGATCCAGAGTTAACACTGTGGAGCTGTAAACTGCAATCTCTGTTGCTTTGTTCGCTGTCGACACAGAAAGACATGAAGCGAATTCATCCGAGCTCGACGAATCGTGTAAATATTTACTCTGACGCTCGACTCCCTTGTCTTGTCGTGTGTGCTGGCGTGCAGGAGGAGTCGATGGAGTGGCGCCAGTTCCAGGCCGATCTGCAGACAGCCGTGGTCATCGCCAACGACATCAAGTCCGAGGCGCAGGAGGAGATAGGAGACCTGCGGCGCCGCCTGCAGGAGGCGCAGGAGAAGAACGAGAAGCTGAGCAAGGAGCTGGACGAGGTCAAGAGCCGCAAGTAAGTCCAACGGGCTGACCAGCTCAGGAGCGAAAACTCCTCAACTAAGGGGTGGCGCCCCCAAAAGGTACCAGAGCCCCTTCTTGAAAAATGTTTGCCACTCGCAGGCCCTCTAAAACTCAAATCTACCAAATAAATCTGAGGCAGGCTTTCAAGTGAGGATAAAGTGCAAGTTTACAAATCCTACAACAGAAAAATTCAAATTAATAAATGAAATATTCTTACAACTCATGTTAATTCAAATTCTTCAACATACACATGTGATTATTTGCATTTGCTAACCACATAAATGTCATATGCCTAAGAATCTTTGGTTATTTATTTGAACTTTGACCCCGTAGATGGCCCAGCCTGGCCTCATGGAGGGGTGGCCAATATAATCACATCCATCTCACTGCTTTGTCACATTCACTTCTGTTGTTCAAAGTGTGTGTGTGTGTGTGAGCACTGACCTGAGCCCTGTTGGTTTTCCAGGCAAGAGGAGGAGAGAGGCCGAGTGTACAACTACATGAATGCGGTGGAGCGGGACCTGGCGGCCCTCAGGCAGGGGATGGGTCTCAGTCGGAGATCGTCCACCTCCTCAGAGCCGTCGCCCACCGTGAAGACGCTCATCAAGAGCTTCGACAGCGCCTCGCAAGGTACCGCTGCGCCTGAACCTGCTCCGACGCCATCGTCTAGCGTTCGCACATCTCACGCTACGCACACACTTTGCCATAGCAACTCGCAACAAAAAAGAAAAGAAAAAACTCAAACATTTCCACACAAAGAACAGAGTATTCAGTCGGTTACAGTTTTATGTCATGGACTTGTTGTTTATTTTGCGATTGTTAATAATTGATCGCCGCAGTAGCAGCTGTTAGCTAATCAGACACTGCAGTGGTTGAGTAGCTGATTTAATCAACCACTGATTAAATCTGCTCCACTGATGATCTGTCAGTGTTGGTGTTCAGTTTGCCTTTTTTTTTATTATTCATGAACTGAACCAAAACGCACAGAGTTCCTTGTCACCTCTACATGCTACATGTGAAAGTCAAACCTCTTTCCTCTCCCTCACAATTTTTTTTTTCTTGTTTCAAACTTTTTCCTGACCTTGTTATCTTGTTGTTTTAGTGTTGGCAACCGGTGGCAAAGCACTGCGTCCCTTTTTCTCTTATGAATCAGACGCACATTTAAGATTTAGCGGGTTATATTGACGACTAGACAACTTGAAAGAGAGGTGGGGGTGGAATCTTACGCACACAACTTCATGCTGTAAGAGGTGTACAAGTTATTTTGTGTCTTTTTCATCTTCTTTCATAGATGTGAGGATGGATTCTAAAACCTTTTCTTTTTTTCTTTTTTTGCCGTCCTGTGTGTTTTTGCAGGCCCGCCCACTAATGGCGCCGCCGTCGCTCCGACTGCCGTCGCTCCGACTGCCGTCGCTCCGACTGCCTCCGCTCCACCCTTACCTCGGACCCCACTGAGCCCCAGCCCCATGAAGACGCCCCCAGCAGCCGCTGTTTCACCCATGCAGGTGCAGAAAACAAAAACGGGATTACTATGGTGTTGACATGACACAAATACACCGAGTTGTCCCTCATTTCAATGATACAGTTATTAGTTATTGAATATATGAACTCTATCTCTGTAAACAATTTGTAAATCATGTTTGGTGTCTGGTTATACAATAAAAAATGATATTAAATAATAATTATAGAAATGATAAATATTTAATTCAAAATTAAATAAATAAATATGGTTGATAATAAAAATGAATAAATACTCCACCAAATAAATAAATGCATATTTCCTATTTGGGAACAGTTTATTTTACCAATAGCAATCAACTTATTTATGGCATTTTATGACTTATTTGTATTTATAAAAAACTTCATTATTAATTATCGTTTTTATTTCGGGGTTTTATTTCACTTCCTCCTGTTCGAACTGTCTGTGGGAGTGGGCTGGTCAGATTCCTATTAATAATGAATATTAATGGAAGGATGACACAACTTCAGTAATTTAAAAAACAAAAGGAAAATTCCCAAAGTTTGAAATGATGATTTTTCATATTCGCATGAGTGAAATTTTTTTTACGTACAAATTCAAATATACATAAAGATAAGTAGATAAATGTCCCTGAGCAAGATCCACTGGAGCAGCAGTTTTTTTTTTTTTTTTTTTTTTTTGTGGCCTGCAGTGATTTTCACTTCATTCTAGATGGATAGCTGATCTTTGTAATTGGTCCACTTCTGTTCTTGTAAATCTCCTAAAGTGCATGTTTTGCTGTTTCAGAGACACTCCATTGCTGGGCCTATGGCGGCGACCAAACCCCTCTCATCGCTGAGTGACAAGAGACCCAGCTACTCAGACATGACCATGCCAGGTAAACACGCTCTCCATCCTGTAGAGTCATTTTTATGTCAACTTCTTCTTCACCCCAACAGCTCCAGAGATTCTGTAGTAGTTAATTGATTTTCTGTAGAATATTTTATGTGATATGCAAATGTTTTTGAATTGGGTTTTTAACCATCTGTGACCCATAATTATGGTAAGGACATGAAATGAATTCCTGAAATGAGACTTTAACTTTCAAAATGAGCGGCAAAAAATCTTAAACTTTTTCACAATTTGTTTGTTGCAGCAAGAAAAACTTTTTTTTTTCTTTTAGGATACAGCAAGAAATTTGTTCAGTTTTTCAATAAAACAAAGAAAAGAAAAGGAAAGTTTCTCAAGTTTTTTGCATTTTTGAAGTGGAGCAAAAACAATGCATCATTTTCAAAACATTTAACCAATAAAAAGCTTAAGAGGTCAGCATGCATTAAATTACCTTCCTGAAATAATGACCTGTGGATTTTTTTTTTGCCAAAAGATAATTTAGGCATTAAAAAAAAGTCACTTTTAGCAAAAAATGACTTAGGTCGTTAGTTTCAGAAAGTGACAAAATAAAATGCAGCAACTAGAATAGTTATAATCTAATTGTGTTTATATGCTTGAATGGCCTAATCAAAGTCTGAGATAAGGGCACGATGTGAACGAGGAGAATGAACAAGACCTGAATTAGTGTTTAGCTATTAAGCTGATGGTGTGAAAAAATGGGAAGAGTGAATACTTTTGCACGGTGCTGCAGGTGCAAATGTGAAAAAGCACGAATACTGTGGAGTCAGATCGCGTCACCTCGTATGTTGACATGGGAACAAGTCTGAATAGCATGTTCTCTCTTGTATGATACAAATGGGATCGCTTTTCTCCCAAGACTCCAGTTGGGATTTATAAGGATTCAATGCAGAGCAGACGATGGGAGGCAACATGAAGGACGACTCTCTCCACTCTGTCCCCTCCATCCTCTCCGTCCACTCTGTCCACTCTGTCCACTCTTAACTGCAGCGAGCTCAAGTGATTTCTGCGAACGTGCAATCTTGGCCGTAGTTTCCAACGTCTGTTTACTTTTTCAGTGATTTATTGTTTTCTTGGTGAGGCAGGCGGCCTCGTGCCTCGGTATTCCCTGAACTCACAGGAACTGGAATGTGGCTCTAAGCTGACCCCCTGCCCCCCGTCCTCCTCATGTCCCCGGTTACATCCACTCTTTGGGAGGAAGTTCGTCATGCAGTCGCTCAGTGGTGTCGATGTTGTCATTTACCCACAGCTGAGCACCTCCTCAGGGGAGCCCCGACCAGCCGACCCCCTCCTGTCCTGCAGAGGGTCTCCAACATCGACTCCACCAAGGCCATTTCAGGTCGGAGACGTCAGTCAGAGTTAATGTGATATTTCAGAGCAGATCCGTTTGAATCCAAGTTGTAATCTGTGTCCCGTAGTGTCGCGGAGGAGCAGTGAGGAGATGAAGAGGGACATGTTGGCGTCGGACGGAGCCTCCTCCACCTCCCTCATGGCTTCCTCCCCCCTCTCCCTGTCCTCCTCCTCCCCCACCGCCTCCGTCACGCCCACCACCCGCAGCCGCCTGAGGTACCGTCACAACTTGTGCTAAATGAAAAGGTTGTGTGAAGTTTCCGTTTCTCATCTGCGTGAAATCACCTGATGAGTACAGAAGCATTGCACCGAAATCACAAAAAAACGAAGGAAAGCTGAAGACGTTTAACCTTTTTGACCTTGAAATCATTTCCCTGCTTATGAGTCTTTTGTCTGTTTCTCTAACAGAGAGGAGAGAAAGGACCCTCTGTCAGCGCTGGCCAGGGAGTATGGAGGCTCCAAGAGAAACGCTTTGCTCAAGTGGTGCCAAAAAAAGACCGAAGGTTATCAGGTATGAGAACCGACTTGATCTAATCGGAGGTGCATTCACACCGTTCCCATTTGTTCCGCTTTAATCAAACTCCAGTTTGTCGACCTTTAAAGTCTAGTTCATTTGGGGAGGTGTGAAAGTGTAGTGGAGCTCGGCTGCAGATCAAAAAAATTAACTCTGCCTAAAAACCTTGGTCTCAATTCGGTTGAAGTGAACTTTGGCGCAGGACGAATGTATATGTGAACGCCAAGCGAACCGGGCGCAGACCGCTCCAAAAGCAGGACGTGGACTACAGTGCAGGGAATTTTGGGTAAATCCAATCAAAACAAACGTGCAGGTCTTGCTCTGCATGGAGAACTGGCTCATAGCCTTCAACCAACGGCAACAGAGGAATCCTAAAACCCCTGAAATGTGATGCTTCTCCATCTTTGTTCACATTTTGTAAAATGTGAACAAAAACATTTAGATGATTCTGAATCTAAATGCATGTTGCACTTTTTAAGCTCTTCCTCGTCCACTCCAAAAAAAAAAAAATCCCAGTAAAATTAGAGATGCAAGTTATCAATTGATGAGTCAACCTTTCTCTTGTATCAAGAGGACCCATAGTCTTTGCATTACGTAAGATTTTCATAATATACTGAATTTAAAAAAATTTTTGCTAAATTTGAAATTAACATTATTTTGTTACAGCTGTATTCAATACTGGCTGAATAAACAGTTTCTCCTTCCCGTTCTGGCATGGCCCCGCCATCTTTGTTTGTGCATCAGCTGAAACAAACCATTAATCGACAATTAATTGTAAGTTGATTCATTGTTTGCACCCCCACCTAAAATAGATTGATATTTCTTGGTTGTAATTTGATTGAAAAAGAAAAAATTTGACTATTGTGTTTCCAAGGTATTTTGGTTTGTTGGTGTGGATGGAGAACTGGCAGCAGGTTTGCCTCAGCAGTAAACGGGTTTGATTATGTGACTCAGAAAAAGCCTGGGAAGTTGCCACCAGAGTCGTTTTCTTCCACATTGAAGGGACACAGGTCACGGTTACCATGGCTCCCCACGTCTCTCCAGGAAGTGTGCAACATTAAGCACATCCTGCAAGTAACAGACGGACAAAACACCGATGAGCCAGAGGGTGATGGGTTGTGATGTGGAGGAGATTGAAGCGTGCGATTACGCCGAACGTCAGCGAATGTTTGCTGGAGGCTTTTATTTTTCCGTTGTTTTCTTTTTTTTTTTTTTTTTTAAGGTTAAGACGATGACCGATGGCGGATGAGTTCCGCCTGTGCCGTTCGGATCGAGTTGCCGTTTCCTGTCAATAAATCCCGAACGTCTCCAGTTGTTATGAGAATAATGTTTCCGAAATAACGTCGTTTAATCGCCGCTCCTTTTTCCCAGAACATCGACATCACCAACTTCAGCAGCAGTTGGAACGACGGCCTGGCCTTCTGCGCCTTGCTGCACACCTACCTGCCCGCACACATCCCATACCAGGAGCTCAGCAGTCAGGACAAGGCAAGCAGCGCTCCCCCCCCCTGGCTCCATTTCTACATTTGTACTTGTGACCTAAACACGTCTCTCTTTCTCTCTACAGAGGAGAAACTTCACATTGGCGTTCCAGGCTGCAGAGAGCGTCGGCATCAAATGCACATTGGTAAGCTCTGCAGACGAGCTAATCCACTCATACCGTTTTTTGTTGAGTTTTTTGGGGGAAGGGTTTTCCCAGGGACAGCGTGTAATCTTTACAAAAAGAAGAGATGCCTCACGCCAGATTTAGTTCCCAGCTTCTCCCTGATGACGATCTGCTTTTTATGTTTCCGATGTCGATCCGACACAGAAAAAAGCTGCTGAATTGACTTGAAACGTTTCTTTTATTAAACAAATTTATTCTGGGATTATAATCAGAATTCGAAGAAAAACAAAATCAGAACTCTTGAGATTTACTTCACTGGCCCTGATCCTCTTCTGCTTTTAAAACGATTGACCTCATTTCTCCACCTGAAGACTCTCCGTCTTTATGATGTTCAAGTTGAGCATCGAAATCAAACTCAGATTGAAACCATTTCTCAACCGTAAACCCCGTTGTAAGCTGACCAAAGTAGTTTCCGCCTAACATCGCGCAAGAATCCATCTAGAGAAATGGTTGAGCCCACAGTTTTCACTCAGCGGATCCTTCTCTCACAGGTGGAGAGAAAGCTTTGCCTAGAGATAAAGAAATCCTCGTTCAGACGCTGCTGTTGCACGGAAACAGGTGCAGCAGAAGGCTTGGTTGCCTGGTAACCTGGCTTGCAGGGCGGATATGGTTTTAACCACTAAGTGCAACAAAACCGAACCCCAAACTGATCTCTGGTCTTGATCTGACATCTGTAAAGGCCACGCTGTCTGTCGTCCTCCGTCTTTTTCTCACTGCCTCCTCGTCTGTTGCAGGACATCAATGACATGGTCCACACGGAGCGGCCCGACTGGCAGAGCGTCATGACCTACGTCACCGCCATCTACAAATACTTCGAGACCTGACTCCCGCCCGCAGCGCCTCGCACCCGCAGCAGCACAATCACAGTCGCGGCCACGCGCCCGGCAGCCGCTCCGACGGCAACTGTTACACCTCACCGCCCCAACCAACCCCGCCACACGCTATTAGCTGTTAGCTGAGCTGGGGCTCGATCACACCTTTACCGTTACACTAGTAAGCCATGAGAAGTCACCGGTGGAAGCCGGGTCTGTGCAGGATCCGCTCCATCCCCTGGAGAAAGTCCAGGAGATCCGTGGTTCAGGAGCCGCAAAAGGAAAACGGCAGTGCCTTCTTGTTGTGGCTTTTGTTGTTTTTGTTTCCAGGATGTTTATGAGGAAGCTGTTCCAACCTAAATTCACTCGGAAATTCTCTACATTTCTTTCGTTTGCGTGGAACATCAAGCGGAGTTTACATTTCATGTGTTTGTTTTGGTTTTTTTATGCCAGCCCGCATCGTGGCTGGTTGGTTGCCTACGTTTTTTGAAATACTCCTTTTGGAAACACTTTGGACTTGTTTTGCACCAAGTCTTCCAGACATGGCAGTAGGATGCAGATGCCTCTCTTTCAATAGATAAAGTGCCTGTGAGTTTAATGCGGGAAAACCAGGAAATGAGCTCTGTGTCGCTTTGTGAAGTTGCCAAAAAAGTATCATAGACTTCTAGTTGTTTTTTTTGTTTTGTTTTCTCCTGCTATAACCAGGATAAAGTGATGTTAGGATCTCCAGCTCCATCACCCTGTATAAGCCACACTAACTCACTCTTTATAGATCTGTGAAAGTTGATTCATATTCAGTTAAAGTTGCATAAATATCCTAACGCTTTCCCTAACGGCTGTGTGACACGTCTCCACGGTTCTCACTCGGCACACGGCGTCACTCCTTCAGAACCAAAGCGTGAGCAGAGTGCCGGCCTCAGCAGAACGTGTTCTGTGGAAAAATCAGGCCTGGAGTTTGAGGGAAAAGTCTTTGAGTCGTTTGGATCGATGCGCGTTTTTCTTTCCTAATAACTGGAAAGGATTAACTGCACTTTGTTTGTGTGTGTTCTTAACGCGGGGTTCGGCGCCGGGCTCAGCGTAAACGCCTGACTCGGGCCAAAGGAAATAAGAATAAAAAAAAATCTGCATACCAGAGCCTCTAATGATTAATAACATGTTTTGTTTTCTAGTCTGAGCAATCCCAGCTTGTTCTAGAAGAAGAGTTTGCGAGGCTCCGGCTTCGTAAAGTCAGCGAGGGAGGTGCGGTTTTGCAGATCGTTGTGCGTTTCTCTTTGGCAGAATCGTGTTGTAGCTGCAGAGGTTGTACAAGTTATCAACTGGCCGTAACCTCACACTGCAGACTGATCTAATCCCGGATGGTGATTAAGCGGCCCAAATGTCAAATTATCCTCTGAACAAGATGTTTCTTGTGCTGCCCCTATCTGATGTCTTTTTTTTTTCTTCTCTTTTTGATGTTTGTGTTTTTCCTTAGCATAACTAATGCACACTCGTGGTGCCGTGTAAATGCCGTTTATTCCCTCAAAATCCAGCCTGCCGCCGTTTTGTCAGGCCGTCTGACTGCTGTGTGCTGCCTGTGCCTCACATACAAAGTTATTATTTTATTTATTTGCATAGTTTTTATGAAGTCATTACTTGAGTGTCTTACCTATCTATGAAGTTATTGCACACACAGTAAGTAGTTGCACTGAGATAAGCTTTTTTTTTTCGGTTTTTCGTTCTTTGTGTGCCACGTTAATGTTCTTGCCTTAAGAGTCTGACCAAGTCCTGCGCTACTGACAGTTGGACACCGGATTTGAAAGGACGTCCTGAAACATGCTCGGCTTCGTCTTTTGCCTTATTGAGAAACTGACAATTATTGTGTTGGGGTTGAAATCTGTGGCTGTGCATTAAGGCCATTGTAAATGGGGAAAAATAAAAGGTGTGTAAATTTCCACCATAAAAGTTCTGAAATTTTCTAGGAAAAAAAATGAAGCTGGGACATGGCTGAGCTCCACAGGTCAAAACTTTGCGAGGAAAAAATCTGAGGTTTTGAGATTGATCTCGGAAAACTTCCACGAAAGAGCAAGAAAATGTCTGTTTGAAGAATTGAACGTTTGCTTGAAGAAACAAGAATTTTTAGGATTCATTTTCTAGAAAATCTTTGAAATTTCATAGTTTGAAAACTCAAGCTTGCTTGAAAAGTTTCTACAAACTCAGAAATTTCCACGGTTCCTTTCTAGACATTTTCTGAGATCGATCTCAAACTTTGAGGGTCTTTTTGGTAGAAATGATCTCTTCCCTTTTTTCTGCCTGCAATATCCCATCATGAAAATAAAACACTCCTCTTGTCTCCCTGATATAAAAAAAAAGGAAAAGAAAAGAAAAAGGGAGACTACACGGTTTTCAGTCCAACTCTCCAGCGGTATCGATAGCAACAAGGAAAAGCACTATTTTTGCCTCTCGGATGTGGAGGCTGCGGCGCTTGCCAGGTCTCATCGCCGCCGAGCGTACATCTGCTTTAGACATTCAGCGATTTAAAGATAGCACAAGAGCCTCCAACAATGGCTGCTTCTGCTCCACGCGCGTACAAGATGGAGCGAGTTATTTACTGGCCTTGGAAGGAATTGGCTTCTTTTCGTGTGTGTGTGTGTGTGTGTGTGTGTGTGTGTGTGTGTGTGTGTGTGTGTGTGTGTGTGTGTGTGTGTGTGTGTGTGTGTGTGTGTGAGAGAGAGACAGCGTGGTGCTGATTATCAGTCTAAACTCTAAAGTTTATTGTGGCGTGTTTTAATTCCACCGCCGGTGTTTTACTGCTCCTGACAGGAATCTGTGAGATTTGAAGCCTCCTCGCAGCAGAATGTGTGTCTGATCACGCTTTATTGGTGCTGGGACTCCTTTTTTTTTTTTTTACGAGGTCCAGCATGTGCCGACGTGGAGTGATTGATGAGCTCTGAGGCTCCGGCCTGCTGAGGAGGGAGCGGACAGCTGGCGAAAGCTCGGAAGCGCATTCCAGCTGCTGCCGCCGTCCGCGGTGGGCGTGTCGCGCGGTGGGCGTGTCGCGCGGCTTGGGGAACGTTAAGTGATCCACTTCACGGCGCATTGTTCTGAACAGGGAGCTGGATCCTGACGGGTTCGCCGCGCTACGTTTATGTTCGTTTACTTGAATCCTTTCGAGAACTCGACCAAACCGGCTCCAGTTTGTCTCCTTTTGTCTCCCACGTTGCCTTCTGTTTGTTCTTTTTTTTGTCCTTTCCAGCCACACATGTATTGCTGAACGTCAGTTGTGAAAGTCGAAGCTGAAAGCATCAGAACTGAGAGTTTGTGCGAGTGTAAAAGCCACTAAGCTACAGTATTAAGGTCACACTACCATGAGTTTGTAAGAAAATGTTCTGTTGTTGTTTTTTGTTGCTTTTTCTCCTGTAGCTATAAAAGAACGTTGAAAAGTTCTTCCTTTGTCGTCTTTATTTTGGTTTAGTTGTTGCCAACTTGGGTCAGAGTGTCAACATCTGGGCTGGACTTAGAGAGGGCTTTGGCCCCGGGCCCCAAATATTTAGCATGTTGTACTATGTAATGTATATAAAAGTCGTAGAACATGGTAACACACTTCCCAAAGAGGTGTGTTGTTTTAATATCATTACATTTTTATTTATGGATACAATACTCTGATATCGTCACCTTATAATGACAGCATATGTAATTTTTTTTTTTTTTTCTGCCAAAGTTGCTTTTTTTTTTCTTCACCGTTCTTTTTATTTTTTCCCAAATCATCTTCTGACAATAAAAAGTGGTGTCTTTTTTTTTTTTTTTTTTTCAAAATAACTTGGCCCAAAAAAAAAAAAGAACCTTGGGTCATTATTTTAGGATGATATTTGAAAACTCCAAACCATCCGACTTGGGACGTTTTAGACCTGCCTATTAACTACTGCTTTTATTTAAATCCTGTTTGGGTTTTTTAAATTATTTTTTATTTTTTGATCCTTCTAAAATCATTCCTGATCGACAATAAGTAAAAAAATATATGGTGGTTAGAGAGTGTTGACATGAAACAATCTAAATGCCATCCATCTTCTGCTTTCCCGGGGTCGGGGGTCAGCAGCCTGAGAACTGAGGCTCAGACTTCCCTCCGCAGCCACTTGTTCCCCCTCCTGTGGGGGAACCCGAAGGCGTTCCCAGACCAGCTGAGAAACATGGTCCCTCCAGCGTGTCCTGGGCCTCCTCCCGGTGAGGCGTCCAGGAGGCATCCTGACCAGATGCCCCATCCACCTCAGCTGGCTCCTCTCGATGTGGAGGAGCAGCGGCTCCACGCCGAGTCCCTCCTGGACGACCGAGATTCTCAAACAAGAAAAACTGAATTTGCAGTGAATCCATATAAAGATGTGAGTTTCGCTTTTTATGCTGGATTCCTAAAATACATCAACTTTTATTTGTATTTATCTACTGAAATGCACCTGAATGTAGAGAGCAGCAGCGACACAGGATGTATCAGCTGGGCGAGTTTCAGTGTGTGTGTGTGTGTGTAGGGGTGGAGGGAGGCTACCATTATCTTTACAATGCTTTCTACAGTGATCCGCCCCCTGAGAGGAAACAGCCACAATTCTGCAGAAAATATCTTAGTGAGAGAGAGAAAGCGAGAGAGAGAGAGTAGATGTTCTCATCTCTCTGGAGTCGCTGCATTCACTGAGAGCAACTTGTTCACAGGAAGGAGGAAACACGGAGCTTTTCTTCTTCTTCTTCTTGCTTTTTAATCTATTTCCTGACTCAGCTGCTGCAGGTCTCTGCTTTCAGTTTATTTTTCATTTTCTTTTGAACCCAGGTTCTCCCTGCTGTCCGGTAAGTCAATGCAACTGTGATCCCGTCATATTATCTGTTATCTATGATGATCTCTCCGTGAATATGGAGGCAGAAGCAGCTCAGCTGATGCTTCCTCTCTGAAAGTTTGCGGGAGTTGTGTGCAGTGTTTTGGTTTTTTTCTCTCTCCTCACCTGTGGGGTGAAAAACACGCAGGAATGTCAGTTCGTGGCGCTTCAGTCCTTGCAGTGATGAACAGCATCTGTTCAGATGAAGGGCCACAGCTGCTCTGCGCTCCGGGGTCTGCGTGTGTGTGCATGTGGGCCCCTCTAGAAATGTTTGGACATACAAACCTTATAGTTCATCAGTTCACATGACGTGATGTGCTGCTTTGATCCAGTCTTTCATTTAATTAAGTAAAGACTGGATTTACAAAAAGAAAAGGTTAGATGTCGTTTTTCTTATCTGACCTTTGTCGACCTGCATTTCTAGTTCCAGTTTTATAAACTTTTATAATTCATTTATGACCGTCTCCTTCTCTCGTGCCATTCATTGGTTCCATTTATTGCACCAGGCTTTGTCATTGCTGAGACTCATTAGGTATTTTATGAAGATATTTCTCTTGTTTATTGCTATGTTTGTCCTGTGACCGGATCCAGGGCCGGATTCAGGAGATAATGGGTTCCAGGGCTCAGGCCAGCTTTGGTGCCCCGCCCACACACGTTTCTGTCGCTTACGCGCCCAGATCCCCGGGTCGAAGCGACCCCCGACGCCGGGGGTCATGTGAAAGTGACGATGTGAGATTTGAAAAGAGCACAGAGGGCAGTTTGTTCAGCCGCTGCATCACGGTGAAGAGCGGGTTGGTGGATTCAGGTTGACCGGCTCTCTGCTCCAATGTCTTTATGATGGCGTCCAGCCGACACACGTGTGCCAGGCCTGCGTTTAAAACAGGAGGAACATAAACAGACATGCATTTTATGATTTAGTTTTTTCAAATGAAAAAATGTAAGGTAGAAATTTGATGTATTTATTACCTTTTTGACTTTTGTTTTCATTGGAGGAGGGACCACAAACCCCTCAACCCGTGTTCACTTTGCTCATCTGGACCAGTGAAATAAACAGCAATTAACCCTCTGAAATGAAAAAAATGTGGACAGTGTCAACTTGAATCGCCATGGCAACCACCCAGCTGTGCAAAATGCCCGGATGGACTGAGTGGTACCTTTAAGGACAAACGTCCTCCAACGAGCTGCAGTTTGTCCCTCACTCAGCTCCTTCAGACTAGCCAGCAGCAATTAGCAAACACCTGGAGGAACTGAGCACCAGCTGAGCTCATTGTAGGAGCTGCTTCTGAGTGAAACTCCTGTGAAAACGTTGCTAAAGGGTTAGTCATTTCAAGATGTTAAATTATGAAATCAAAATTCTTTAAAGTCACATTCGACGTATGTGGCTTTATTATAACTGATGGAAACATGGTTACTTGATAATGCTGCAAAGTAGCTCTTTGTGGCTGGGAAACATAAAACTTCCCCTTTAATGTTAACACGTCTATTTTTATCATCCAGTTATTTTTTCTGTTGCACATTTGAGCCTCACATCGTTTCTCTACACAGTTGAAGTTATTCCACCTCATACATGGCCATTTCATCTTCATAGTTGAGAGACATCAAGCCGGTGAGTCTGGAAGCTGTGAAGTCGTCTCTCTGTGGTACCAGACTCAGGCCTTACAGGTGGGTGAGCTCTGTCTCTGCAGCTCTATTTTAGGTCAGTTTAAACTCGGATGGCTGTCATGGGACCATCAGTGCCGTTTCAGACATTCATAACTCCCGTTGTCGTCCTCTGGGATTTATTTATTTATTTTTTTGTTTCACACTGCTGTGGCTGGAAACGTACTTCCATGCAGTCCATTGTGATGTCGCTTAAGAGACCAAAGATCAACAAGTCTGCAAGTCCAAACGAATGAAAACACAAACGAATTACGGCGCTGACTTACAAAATAGCGAGCCTTGCAGGAATGATGTGTTGTCCAACCCAGAGGGAAAAGTCTGACTGGGAGAGCGAAGACCTTTGAGTTCCAGTGCAGCTGTTATCTTTGAAAACCTAAAGGAGCGTTTCCCTCTGAGGGAAACGGCTCTGTGAAAACAGCAACTGTCTGAAACAGAAGGCTCTCAGATATCCAGGAGTCTGAATACGTCCTCTATTAATTACCCTCCATGACCGATAACAGCCTCTTTGCTTCAAAGCCAACAAGAGCACATTATTAAGAAGTAGGAAAACATATTTGCATGTCACAAAGTAAAGTAAGAGACGGATTCTCCATCGAGACATGTCTTACCCATGGGACTCATCCAGGAAGTCTTTGCTGACAGGCGCAGTTGTCGTCCACACAAACATTTGGAGGCTCTCTGGTTTCTTGGCTGCTGTTTGGAAAACTGACTTTTCAGTGACCGTCACAGGTTGTCTGTACGCAGCGCACGGATTGGTCAGAAATGTATGGTCAGATCTGGTTAGGTCAGACCTGAGCATGAAGTTGTTTTTTTTTAACAGGGCAGTACTGTCTATTTTCCAGGAAAATAGTGCCATTTTCTCATGCAATCAAATAACTACGTTAACTTCAGTTGTTGTAAAAATGCTGCGCATATCAAATATGACTTGAAGGAAATTTCACTTTGTAATTTAAAGCCTTGAAATCAGGCCTCTGTCTCTTTAAAAGCTCCTCCTCTTTCAGAAAGGCCGCCTTCAGGAAGTCATCGTAACATGGTTCCTCTATCAACCCGTTAACAATGTTTTTACTAGCGCTGCATTGAGAACCAGCTCCTGTAATGAGCTAAGCTGATGGACAGTTCCACCAGGTGTTTGCTAATTGCTGCTGGCTAGTCTGCAGGAGCTGAGTGGGTAGTGACAGGAGAGGGCTGCTCTGTGAGAAAGAAGATTATGGAGGTTCATCCTCAAAGGCAGCGCTACATCCACTGAGCCATTTTGCACAGCTAAATGGTTGCCATGGACATTAAATCCCTGGATGAGACATATAATTCTCTCACTTCATAATCAGCCTTTAAGTGACATATTTATTCCACATATTTGGGGCGATATCAGGTCTGTTTATCTTTAAACAAAATCACGCCCCAACAACTTTCGAGCTCAGTGTGGCATCAGACATTTTTTCCCCCCAGACTCTGATTAGCAGAAGTTGGATGTCTGTGACCAGCTGTCAGACTCTGCTGAGCTAATAGGTGTTGTTCACACAGCCATCTGAAGTGTGATTAATGGTGCATGCTCTTATCTGCCTCCATTGTTCATTGCACCCAGAATTTATTCGTGGCGAGCTAGACATTTTTGTGCAAAGGTCACATGACCTGGTTGTAGTTATGTGATGCAGAACGGGGCTTCGGTCATTCAGGATCTGTCATTTCTTCTTCTTCAGCTGTTCTGACGGATCCTCCACGCCCAGAACCAGAACCGTGCTGATTCCCACACACAGTCGATCAGGGAACAATCGCAGGTCCTGGTTGTCCACACAACATTGCTGCAGTGACTCCAATCCAACAGCTGAGTAGGTTCTGGCACTAATAAGTCACAATGAGCCCAACTTGCATTTTCATATTTATTTTTGAAACTTATGAAACTTTGGCACAATCGAAACAAATACACTGTTGTG